CCCCGCCTCCTGGCCTGGCTGCCCCGCCTCCTAGCCTGGCTCCCCCACCTCCTAGCCTGGCTGCCCGGCCTTTTAGCCTGGCTCCCCCGCCTCCTAGCCTGGCTCCACCACCTCCTGGCCTGGCTCCCCGACCTCCTGGCCTGGCTCTCCCGTCTTCTGTCCTGGCTTCCCCACCTCCTGGCCCGGCTGCCCCAGTGCCGTTTTCTGCTTCCCTGTTCTCTCCGTTTGGTTCTCTTCCTTATTCCAAGAAATCTGAGCCACGTCAGTACTTGGAGACTGACAGTTGCCTTACTGCTGATTTGGACCGTAGGGCGTTCGCTTCTCCCACGTGTTCCCAGAGCCCTTCTTTCAAGCCCTTCTCTGGTATTGCTTTGTCTGGTGGCTTGTTTGGCTCCAAACCTCCCAAAGTCTCCCAGAGCAGTCCTTTTGTTGGTGCTTGCATCGAACTGGACTCTTTGCATCAGCCGCATCGTGTTTTTTCTCTTTCTAGAGCTACTGCTCTACAGGGAGGAGGAGCCAAGGGTTTTGGGTCTTTCCATCCTTCTGCTTCCTCTGCTATTCATTTTCAAGGTTCCCAGCCAGCCAGTTTACCCAAGGTCCTGCACAGTAGGCCAGGGCCTGTGCCACGAAATATTTCTGCCAGTCCCGGGGTTGGCTTTAGTTTTGGAAGTTGTTTTCAAACAGAGCCTAAAGTCCTATCACCGTCATTTCCAAGTACTGGATACTTTGTACTAGGAGAGATGCAACATCAGGTTGGCAAACAAAGTTGGGGGAATGCTGTGCCTTGGACTGAAGTTTTCGGTCTACAAACTGAGGTATTTGTCATATTTTTCCTAAGCTTTGTGGTTAGCTTCATTGTTTAGGACAGTGTAACTCAAAGTAGCTGGTCATGGAACTGTTCATTACTGTCCTGCAGAAGCGGTGTGATTGACATAATAATGCAACCCCTTACCTTTCTTGCTGCAAAACAAAACAAAACAGTCAGCAGAAGGAAACAGTAGGAGTGCTGATGATTGGTGTTTATCCATTAACTGCTGGGCCAGAGCCTCATGCTAGTAAATGTTAATGTTCCTTGTTGAAAACTGGCATTGCTGAATAGGTAATGGAGGAAGATCTTAATTTCCCAGATTCTAGAGCTGATGAATTGCAATTTACATAAACTTCCCATTCTAAAGTACAAGTGCTATAAGTATACTCTAAATATTTTCATATAAAGTTGGGACTGTAGATATTATTCAACCTGTAATGTGTTAGAGCTTATCATTCTACAAGTTAAACCAATAAACACCCTTTAATTTAGGTCCTGCATTGGTACTAAGACCTCAAATTTGTAATTAATTTGTTTTGATGTAAGTTAGTTTAGTCAGGTGGAAAGGACTGAATGCCGCATAAGATCAAGTGTGGGCCAGCCTGTGACAGGAGCTTATGCCTGTAATCCCGGAATTTTGGGAGGCTGAGGTGGGAGGATTGCCTGAAGCCAAAAGTTCAAGACCAGTTTGGGACACATAGCAAGATCCTATTTCTGCAAAAACTAAAAACATGCACCTGTAGTCCTAGCCTCTCAGGAGGCTGAGGCAGGAGAAATGTCTGAGCCCAGGAATTTAAGATTCCAATGAGCTATGATCACATCACTGCACTGCAGCCTGGGTGACAGAGCAAGACCCTGTCTCCAAAATAAGAAAAAAACCAGTGTGAGTCCCAGTCCTACCACTTTGTGATATGGGGCAAGTCAGATAACCTGAGTCTTAGTTTCTTCATCCACATACTGGGGATAATGATGATGTCTATCTCATAGAGTATTCTGAGGTTTAATCAGGCTAGTAACAGCTGCCCAGCTTACCTGAGTGAGGCAATGTACATGAAGCCTCTAGGGAGTGTACTGCGGACTGGCAAGAGGGTGGACCCTGCAACTACTCCTGGCTCTGCTGCTTGTTAGCTGTGTGACTTTAGCTTAACCTTTGTGTGCCTCAGTGTCCTCATCTGCAATGTGGGTATAATCATAGCACCTCCACAAGAAGTGGGTAAGAAAGATAAAAGAACAGCACCTGGTACCAGTTCTATAGGGGTTGGCACATATTAATTACCACTGCCATCATTATTCACATTATTGCCATGGATCCTTTAGCCTGTATCCCTGGCCCGGGACGGCACCCTCCTTTTTGCTCCCTGTGTTAGTTCCCCATGGCCTGAGGTCTGTCTCTGGCAAGGTCAAGAGCCCCACACTCAGCTGACACATTGGTCCACACACGTGATGGGGCAGGCAGGAGTGGTGGACACAAAAAAAGTAGTTTAAAAATTGTCATCTTATGTCAGACTATGTAAGGGTAGGGTTTTGTATTGAACAGAAGACATCATGCTGGAGCTCTCCTACACAACTCAAGGCCTGTGGTTAAAAATATCATGTACTTAAAAAATTGCCAAGAGGTAGATCTTGTGTTAACTGTTTTTTCCACAAGAGTAAACAATCAGGTGCCAGGCAAGGTGGCTCATACCTATAATCCTAGCACACGGGGAGGCTGAGGCCGGTGGATTACCTGAGCTCACAGATTTGAGACCAGCCTGAGCTCACAAGTCTGAGACCAGCCTGAGCAAGAATGAGACCATGTCCCTAAAAAAAGTAGCTGGTATTGTAGTGGATGCTTGTAGTCCCAGCTATTCAGGAGGCTGAGGCAAGAGAATCACTTGTGCCCAGGAGTTGGAGGTTGCTGTGAGCTGTGATGCCACAGCACTCTACCCAGGGGGATAGCTTGAGGCTCTGTCTCAAAAAAAAAATAAATAAACAAAAAGAATAAACAAAAATAAATAAACAAAAAGAATAGGTACAATAGTCCCATCTAACAGGCCCAATCTCGGGGTGTCCAACCTATGGGCCAGCAGGTTGGATGTCATGAAAATTATGCACGGACTTTTTTTTTGCTCATTGGCTTCCATTAGTATTTGTATATTTACTGGATGGCCCAAGACAACTCCTCTTGTTGCGATGTGAAGCAGGGAAGAGTAAAGGTTAGACATACCCCTGAAAGGAGAAATGAGTTTGGGCCTTCTGGATCCCTTAATTTTTGTTCTGTTGACTCCCATAGATTAAATAGATGAATATTTAGGAACTTGGTATCTGAAATGAGGGATTAAGAATTTTATAGATGTTTTAAAAATCTCTCATACCCTCAGAAAACCATGTGTGGAGAGTGGCAGTGCATAATAAATGTAAACTGGATGGGGGAAATTTGTCTTTCTAGAAATTTTCATTACAGTCTGATTAGACAGGACTAAGGTTCAGACGCATAGTAAGAACACTGCCTTCTTTGATTTGAGCCCATACCAGCCCCTCAGTACATACTTGTCAAATCGCATAGCCATATGGAGAAATTAAATTGTGAGGTTTTAACTTGTTGTATCAGTTTTATAGAATTTGTCAAGCATTTATTAACCACATGCTTAGTCAGATGGTCTATATATTTGCAACCTACATGGCCACATTAAAGAGTCTTTTAAAATGTGAAGGAAAGAAGATTAATTTTCTAAGTGGTTAAATGAATTAGGATTTAGTATATAGATAGCACACTTTCCTAGACAAGACTTGAGTCATGGGAACCAAGGTAAAGGTCCACGATGGTGTTGGACAAGGGGACATGTAAGCTTCAAATCAGTCCTGTCTTCATTAGATCATTTCTCTTACACTCCAGAGCAGCTATGCATACATCAGCCTGTAAGCTCTTAATCTGAACGAAGAAGTCAAGAGAATTTAGTTTTTCCATAAAATGTTCGGCGTCTTAGCATTTGTTTGACCTGCAGTACTTCGAAGCCTAAAGGACTAACCTTGACATTTTTAGAGTTTTTAAATTAAAACTCAGCTCAACAAAGCACTCTGCACCTTCACCCCTAAAACCAACATGCCTGTAGATGACATTCATTAAAAATGAACGTGAGGATTAAGAGTTACTTATGAAATGAGCACAAAAGCCCAAGTCAAACAATTCTCAACATCCAGTTTCTTCTGATAGGTGCCAATTTTATGAGCAATATGATATGATAAAATCCAATATAGAGAAGCCTGCGATTGCTGTTGGAATCTGCTCTTTTTTTTTTTTTTTTTTTATTTTTAGGCCTCACTAAGAGACTAATTAAATCT